ACGCGCAGTCGCTAACCAAGCTGCAGGGCAAGGCCGACAAGCGCAAGCTGCCCGCGCTGCAGCAGATCGAGGTCGAGGCGAAGGCCAAGGCGAGCCACGCGGCGTCCGGTGCCGGCGAGGCCCTCGCGCTGCTGCGGCGCGACATGCAGACGGCGGTACTCAACACGGCCCGCTCCATCGGCGGCTCGCAGCTGACGCTGCACGCCCGCGGGCTCGAGCAGCACTCCCGCGCGCTGCAGGCGCTGCCCGGCTCCAAGTAGAGGGTGGGGTTTGTATTTGGGAGACGGCACACATTTGTGAGCTGTGTGAGCTCGTGCGGAGGGTCTGGTTACCGAGAGCTCCGAGGCGGGGTGCGGCCAGGGTGCCGAACCTGCGTCGGACCTGGTAAAGCACCTGTAAAACCGAACCACCCGCCGCTCGCCCATGCCGACTTCCGCCCTCCTGCCGCCCTCCCCCCTTCCTGCCCCTCCGCCTTCTCGCCATCCCCCAAGCCCATCTGTGCGTTCCACTCCGTCCGCTCCCTCCCGCTTGGCGCCCATCCCGCCCTCCGCCCTCGCCCCCCGCCCCTGTCCTGGCTGGCCTGGGTGGCACCTCCTCATCATCACGCGCCAAGTGGGAGGGAAGTGGACGGGGCCCTGAGCCGACCTAGCCCTAAACGGAATGGGGCGCCCAACACGTGCCGGATTACCGTGCCCCTTGCACGCCGGGCACGGCCTTTCGGTTCGTGAAGGGTCGGTGCGTGTCGTGCCCCCCTCGCCTTGGTGCGCAGTCACATCCGTGCTCCCCGCCATCTCCATCGCCTGGTCTGCGAATGCTTATCAGCCACGAAAGGAGAGCGTGGCCGAGGGTTGCATAGACTCGATCGCAAGATCCCAGTACCCAGAAAGGCACCTCCGCCTCTCTGGACAGGGTGGCCCGCACTAATCGACCCCTGTTAAGTGACTCGTTCGCTTACCACCCACTGTGATTTTGTGTGAGCTCTGTGTCTTGCTTTGCCAACAACATACCTACAACAGAGAACAACACACACACACGCCCTCTCCCTTCTCTCCCATTTGACCGCGGCGCGACCGGCACTCGCGGCGTCGCCATCGCGCACCACCTCCCACGCATTCGCAGAAAAGTTCGACCTTGAGTTCAAAAAAGAAAGCAAAAAAACCTCGTCTTTTTTCGCGCTCGCGCCGACTGACCACCACCGCCCCCGGCCCACTTGTCGACAATGCTCCGCATCGCCCGGCGCCGCGTGTGCACCGCGGGCGGCGGCGGCAGCGCCTCTGACCGCTTCTGGGCGTGGACGACGCAGCAGCGGCCGTCGTGGAGGGAGTCGCCGACCGAGGCTGCGGTCGCCTTCTGCGTGTTTGGCGTCACGGGCTCCACGAGCGTGGCGCTCGTGCGGCCCGCGCTCAAGCGGACCATCGGGCTCGAGGGCTCGATGCGCGAGGGGCCGTGGTCGTACCGCATCACCTCACTCGTCGCCGTGTCGCCCATCTATGCCACGCTGCTGGTCAGCTTTGGCACGGTCGCCGGCCGACATCGCTACTTTGCCTACATGGCGAACAAGATATTTGGCCGCTTCCTGCCCAATTTCGTGATGAAGCGCATCTCGGAGACGGCCGGCTGGTGTTTCCCTGGCTCGCGAATTGTCAAGTGACCAGTCAGAACTCGCGCATTTACCTACGCTCGCTCTCTGGAGCACGTCCAGGACCCAGGTCCCCGAGCCGCTCCACCACAGTGTTATGTGTTATGGGGTGCGGCCCGCCGGCTGCCAGTGTGCGTGTGGCGCGTCAATATTGAAACGTGGTTTATATTATCTCGCCTCACTCTAACGTCTAAGCTCGATCCTCTCTCCACAGCCGGGGGACCAGCGGCCCCCTCCGCCCCAGGCGCGCGGATTGACTGAGCGCAAGATTAGAGTACTGTCGGAGAGAGTTCGCACGAGAGAGTCGTAAAACGAGAGGTACTTCACAGGGTACTTCGCGCCGCTCGCTCCCTCTGCGGCCTCTCTCGCGTCTCGGCTACGGCCTACACCCCGGTGTCGGCAGTCGGGTGTCTCTCTCCGCGAGACGGACACAGCGCGCGCGAGAACTGCCGAGTTGAACTGGAGCGACACCACAACGCGCCACAGTAATCAGTAATGAGTATCCCGTACCACGCAGCCGACCTGGGCCAGCAGCCAGCCCTGCACTGAGACTCGGTAGATCACTCCCTCAGCGTCTGGTCGTACCGCGCCAGCAGCTCCTCGCCCGCCGCGATGTCGGACAGCGCCTCGAGCCCGCAGCCGTACGCGGCGCCGCCTCCTCGCGGTCGGTACACCCTGTACCGCACGTTGGCGGGCGGGCCTGCCAGGCCGCCGTGGCCGGCCTAAGGTAGGGGAAGGTAGGCAACGGAAGGGAGGGTAAGGAGGCTCGGTACACTCAACAGTGCGGGACAAGGGCTCGTCCCCAGACAGGAGCCGTCGGGATGTTTGTGCCACATGCCATGCGGGCGGGCGGTGTGGTTGGCCTCGTTGACAAAGTAGGTGAGCGAGACGTGGCCGAATGCCGGCTCTCGCAGCCGGAGGTAGCTCTGGGGGCGGGGCGGGGCGGGGCGGGGCGGGGCGGGGCGGGGCGGGGCGGGGCGGGCGTCAGGCGGGTCGGGATGAAACAGGGGTGTGGGGTGTGGGGGCGGCAGTGCGGCGGCAGCGACAGCTGGAGAGGGTGTGGGCGTGTGGGCGTGCGGGAGTATGGGCGTGTGGGCGTGAAGGAGCGTGAAAGAGCGTGAAAGAGCGTGAAAGAGCAAAGAGTGTCAAAGAGTGTCAAAGAGCGTCGCCTGCTTGCCGAGCTCGAGCGCGTGGTACCTAGGCGAGAGCCGCGGGAGGTCAGAGAGCAGAACGGCTGGCCGCCCGTCGTCGGCTCGAGTGTGGGTACGGCGGAAGGTGCGCGACGGCGTACGCAGAGGGCCTGCTCACAGGAACTCGAGGTGTGAAGAGACGTTGCTCACAGTGCTCGGCAGGGAGCAGCTGCGAAAACGCCGAGGCACAAAGACGACGGACGGATCGCGCAGCAGCGTGCCGCGCGAGATTGGATGCACGGCGACGACGCCGAACCCGTCTAAATCGGCCACGCCGTCTGACTGCACGGCCACACTATCCAACAGCGCCTGCACTCCGCGGATCCGGTCGTCGCGGTCGCCGCCGGCGTCGCAGTCGGCGTCGATGCCCGCAACCGGCAGCCTCACTCTACCGGGCGCAAAGGCGTGCGGTGCGGGCGCCACGTAGTCGGCGGCAGCGGCGATGCAGCCGCGACATCCGAGAACATTCCAGCGACACTTGCCACAGCCATGTGCCAGCGGGCTCCGAGTGCCCCAGTTGGCCGTGCCCGGCCGCCACCTGCTCCCGCCCGGCCAGATGACGGCTGCTGGCGTGGTGGGCGGCTTGGCGGAGGCCGGATCGGCCGAAACAGGCCGGCTGTGATGCGCTTGCTTCCGCGCCTTTGCGGCCGCAGCCTCCTCGGCACGGGCTGTCGGCTGGCGTACTCGCTTGGATCGTTCCATACGTGCCACACCTCTGCAGCTCTAGAGAGCGCCAAGCGTCAAGCAGCAGTGCAAGCAGCAGTGCAGTCGCGTGCCGGATTTTTCTTTGTTTTAATCGCGCCTTATGTTTGTTAAAAGTGAAAAAAGTCCTCCTCCGGGAATGTACGCAAGAGCCACATACATTGAGAGATAGGGCCCTTAGGGGCCTAGGGAACACAACACCTCTCCCTTTTCTCCCAGTAAGCTAAAAGTACGTACATACATTGTACATTGAAAAACGTTCGGATCGCTCCTCATCGCAAACCCTGTCAGCAGTTCACCTACGGGTAGAGAGAGAGAGAGGGCCTAGAGAACACAACCCCCCTCTCTCTTTTCTCCCAGTAGCTAAAAAACGGGTATGTTCGTAAGAGCTACATAGAGAAAGTACGTACTGGGAGAAAAGAGAGAGGGGGTTGTGTTCTCTAGGCCCTAAGGGCCCTACGCGCGGCGTGAGAGCTCCTGAGGGAGGGTGTAGAGGATGTAGAGTGTAGAGCGCTGTAGAGCTGTAGAGCTGGAGAGCGCTGTAGAGCTGTAGAGCTCTACATCCGCCGCGTGACGAGGCGCGTGCGTTGTAGAGCGATGTAGAGGCGCTCTACAACGTGAAATCTCTACAACAAACTCTACATCGTAAGCGGCGAACGAGGCACGTTGGCTCTCCGACATGAGGCGCGTTGCACTTGCCAGTGCTGCCCTGGCCTTCTGTCTGCCCGCCCAATGGGTGGCAGGTGCCTCTGCTGCTGTGGCATGCCTCACGGCTGCGACTGGCCGGCGCCTCGGCGCGTCAGCTCGGCTTGGCGTAGCGATCGTGGCCAGCACAACTCGCCTGGACTCAACGCTCAGCCAGGAGCTCCCGCACGCGCTCGCCAGGAGCTCCCGTCTGAATGCTCGCCTCGCCTCGCGCAAATATGCGACCGTTCTCGCAGCCGACAGTCCACCGCCTGCTAAAGAAGCACTGCGATGAATGCGGCACCGGCGACGCATGGCAGGCTGGTCATGACGCAGTTATAGGGTGTTGTGTGCCGTCACGCGTCAGAGGGACTCTCTGTGTGTCAGTGATAGTCAGGGCCGTCCATCGGGGCTCCAGTAAGCTCGGAGACACCCCATTAGTGCGACTTGACCTCTTTGAGTCACTGCCTTCCCGGGGCGGTTTGGAGTAGAGCCTCTACAACAAACTCTACAACAAAATCGCGCTCTACATCGCTCTACAACGCACGCGCCTCGTCCCGCGGCGGATGTAGAGCTCTACAGCTCTACAGCACTCCAGAGCGCTCTACAGCTCTACAGCTCTACAGCGCTCTACACTCTACATCCTCTACACCCTCCCTCAGGAGAGCTCGGAAGCGAGCTTTGCACGGCGATCGAGGATGGCACGGTTCACCCCCTTCACCGAAGTCTCTCTCTCCCAGTACGTACGTACTTATAGCTTACTGGGAGAAAAGAGAGAGGGGGTTGTGTTCTCTAGGCCCCTAAGGGCCCTACGCGCGGCGTGAGAGCTCGGAAGCGAGCTTTGCACGGCGATCGAGGATGGCACGGTTCACCCCCTTCACCGAAGCGATGGAGATGCGTTCCGCGTGGTGTGTCTCTTCTCCCAGTAAGCTAAAAGTACATACACACATACGCTGGAGAGAGAGAAGAACTTACGTCCCTGGACAACCGACAGCGCCGGCGCGGCGACGGATCAACAAACATCTCTCAAACAGGGCCCAGTAATCGTCGAGAGACTCGCCGATGCCAGCTGTCGCCGTCCTGGCCGGGGCGAAGCACATCTGTTCCTTGAAAAGCGGGCGATCTGTCCTGGCGAAAAGCGCCGATGACAGCTGTCGCCGTCCTGGCGCGCACTCCGCAGGTCTTGTCGCCGAACCCCTCACCACCACAGCCCTCGCGCGAGGCTGGTTGCATCACTTGCAATGATGAGAGATCTCCGTACATGATCCAGAACAGCCTGTATTGTGAAACGTGGAAATACCTCCCAACTTTGTGTGGTGACAGCGCCGGGTGGTTTCATCTACAGAGGTTTTGCCGGCGGTCGTGCTTCCGCGCCGGCGTCGCCTACCCTGGAGGCGTCTGCTGCCCGGGTCCATCGCCAGCGCCCTCCGCGCCGCCGAGTATCTCCACGGCTGGCTCGTGCACTTGGTGCTCAGACTCACGGACTGCGTGGATGCATCGCAATCAGCACGAATGTGCAACCTGGCGCGGGACCCGTTCCATGTGCGTAAAGGCGGGCTCGACTTTTTACATCAACCGGAGCTGTCAACAGACGTGCTATGAGCAAGGAGCAGGCTACCCAGAGTACAGCAGCTGCTGCGCTCGCGTGGTTTCGAAAGCGACGGTTGGAAACAACATATTCCACCTCGACACGGCAGGGGCGTGCCCCCGCGGTTGGGTCTGCACATCGCGCTCAAACTCTGTGACGAAGGTTGCTGAGGTGAGCATTCTCACCCTAAAACCCGGAGACTCGACGCAGCACGGGCCCATTCGCCTGCCGGCAAGGAGCGCCACGTTCCGGTTGCCTGCCACCGCGCGCAGGATGAAATTTGTTTGGTTGGGCCCGCACAACTCTGAATCCACCGTCACCCTGTACCGCGCCGACATGCCGATGATGGACGCCAAGGCAACGTGGGGGCAGCCGGTGGACCGCCAGCGGCAGCTCCTCTGCCAGAGCTCAGAGGTGTACGCGCTCCAGTGCACTCAGTGCTCTGATGTCCCACACCCGTATATGACCAGCAACGACTTGGCGTGCGACACCTGGGGCGGCATCAAGTGCAACGGCAAGGCGGAGTGGACAGCCAGCAAGTACTGCCAGCAGTCGTGCTTCCAGCGCGGCCTCCCGTACGCGGGAGACCAGTGCTGTCCCCCCGATGCGCCACCTCCCGCTGAAGAAGCACGCGCCTATTCCTGCGCCATCCGGGCAGACCGCGAAGACATACGTGGAAAATTCGCCTACCTCTACGTCTTCAGCAACGCCGCAGCACCAGTATCGCTCGTGGACCTGTACTTTGAGCCGCGGACTCCTCTCGATCTGAGCCAAAGTTCTCTTCCAGCACCGATGTTCAGCCCACCCCACATCACACTGTGCAGGCGCGAGTTCGAGATTCAGGACTTTAGCTACACCTACATGGGCAACGCCTACCGCTATGAGGAGGATCACGACCCATCCAATTTTGCGAGCCACTCGAGCGCTGCCGCCTTCTGTGAGCGCCAAGGCTACACCACGAACTCGCGAGGTAAAACGGGCGGGCTGTGCACGCTCGACGTGATCTGTCCAGACTACCAGTTTGACGTCACGGGAAGTCCCACGCCGGCGCTTGATAGCGGCCAGGGGTTCAAATCTGGCAGCCGGTCGGCAGACCCCTGGGCTCGCGTCCCAAGCGGCAACGTGTGGGCACCGGTTGGGGGAAGGCTCCCTGACGGTAGTTCGAATCCATACTACATCCAGGTGAGCGGCGATGGAGGTGTGTGTGCAGCGCCGGTGCCTATCGATGCGGAGGCTGACGCGGCGAGCACCGTGAACGCCGACCACATCGTAATTTTCTGCTGCCAATGGACACCGGAGAGGTTCTCAAGCTGTCCTGACGACCCTGGGGGGATCAGATGGGCCAAGGGCCTCTTTGACTACCACGGTGGGTAGAAGCCTTCAAGCTAGAACCACATGGGCATTACCATTAGTAAAGCCATACGCCGAACGCACGCTCTCTCACTACCGGGTGGTACAAGAGAAGGGATTTCTTTTTATTCCTTTCTTTCTTTACAGAGATAACAAGTCTCAAGATTCACCTCTCGGGTCCGTTCATCGCTGGCAGGTAAGATCTCCCTGGGCGAGGGTGATTGGAGAGGGCTGTCAGACTAGTCTGTCGGCGCCAAAACTTGCGCCAAACCACATCCCAGATCGCATCCCCACCGAGCGAGGTGGGCAGGTTCTCTGCGCTACATCACCGCCGGCGAAGTTGTGAACGGCGTCCTGTACCCCTAAAAACAAAGAGAAATCGCTCCCGCCGGCGAGAGGGCGCAGGTGATGGCAGCTGCATGGGCGGAGGCGGTGAGTTTCGCGGCGGCTACGACGGCGGCGGCTTGGGTGGCGGTAGAGGTCAGCGCCGATCAGCCAACGCACGCACCGGGGCCCGCGCTTCTTCCTCTGTCGCCGCCGGCGTCACCTAGGACGGCACCCTTGCTGCCGCCGCCACCACTACGTAGTACGCCGCCGCCACTGCCCCCGCCACGTCCGCCACCTCGACCGCCAGCGCCACTTTCGCCGCCTCCGCCACCTCCGCAGCTGCCGCCACCTTCGCCCTCGACTCCTCCCTCGCCACTACCGCCACCCTGGCGTCCGCCGCCTTACACCGACGCGCTGCCGCCTTTGCCACCGCCGGAGCCGTCTCCGCCGCCGCCGCCGCCACTCCCTTCGCCGACCTCGCCGCCACCACCCCGCTCGCCGCCGCCACCCCCCTCGCCGCCACCACAACCTCCGCGAGCCTCGGCATACGCACCCATGGTGCCATCTTTCCCCACCTTTCCTGTCGGCGCTGCTGCCGCACGAGGTTTGCGCGAGCGGGTGCAGAGCTCGCCTCAACAAGGCCTGTGGATCGATGAACATAGGCATCGGATACTGCCGCGAGGCGGGCGAGGCCGACGACACGTGAGAGACACTCCGTCGGCCTGCACGGCGCCTCCACTCCGCTCACAGGTTGAGACGCGACCCCTCGCACGCAGGTTCGAGTCGTGGGCAGACTGCTCCTCTGCGGCCGCGTGCGCGACCACGTGTTACGAGAACGGCCCGTCAGTCACACCGTCTTAGATACATCCCAGCACGGCTCACCTGTCTTTAGACGTGGCGTCGCGAGGGTCGGCCCCCCCTCGCCCCACCACACCTTGTGAGAGAGAGATCTCTGAGATCTCTTCACCTTTGTGTGCGTGGAGAAGTGTACCTCACCGTGTACCTAGTAGGCGCGTTCGCCTCCCAGGGCGAGCCGGCATGCGTGGCCGTGGCGTGGGCGGAGGCACCAAAGACGGCGCACGACGGCTGCAAGGAGGCGGGCCGCCCTCGCTGCGTGCGCTACTGGACGCGCTCGGGCCAGCGCGTCTCGGGGACCGCTGCCGTGGTGGCCGAGCAATAAAGCCTATATCTATTCCATATCGTGCAGGGCGTGCCTTCACACCCCCTGGCTTGTACACAGGCGTCCGAGTACCACTGCACCGCCATCCACCGCCCCGACTCCTCGCCTTCTGCGCCACCGTCTCCCGTGCCGCCCCCTCGCCCGCTCCCGCCGCCGCCTCCGCCACCGCCGCCGCCGCCTTACGTGCTCCTGTCGGCCGTGTCGGTGGCGTGGCGCCGGCCTCGCGTCCCCCAAGCTCGTGAACAGCGTCTCACGGGAAGAGCTGTGAGCACAGGTCCTGTGGCTCGTGCTTGAGGCGACGCGCTGGCGCCTCGGCAGCCTCGGCGCATCTCGGCTCGTCTCGGACGAACCCGTGCTGTGTGCGTTTTGGTGGTAGGGAACGCGCGTGTACGAGCAGGAGGCGGAGGAGGAGGAGGAGGCGGAGGAGGAGGAGGCGGTGGTTCGAGCCCTCCTGTGAACAGCAGCCAAACAGAAAAAACGGTTCGTCCGGGCGAAGAGCTGCGACTAAAACCTGAGAGCCGGAGCTGCTCTGTACCTGACGCGTCTCTCGCCCCGGGCGCTCCACCCGAAAGAAATGTCAAAGTCATGCCGAAAAAGAAAGTGGCAACAAAAAAAACTCCCCCTATCTCGGCTTCAGAGCGAGTACGGAGTACCTGCTCCCCGTGCGCGGCTGGCACAGCCCACTGAGGTGGTGGTGCGTGCGTGCGTGCGTGCGTGCGTGCGTGCGTGCGTGCGTGCGTGCGTGCGTGCGTGCGTGCGTGCGTGTGTGTGTGTGTGTGTGTGTGTGTGTGTGTGTGTGTGTGTGTGTGTGTGTGTGTGGGTGCGCGCGCGCGCGCGCGCGCGCGTGTGTGTGTGTGTGTGTGTGTGTGTGTGTGTGTGTGTGTGTGTGTGTGTGTGTGCGTGTGCGTGTGCGTGGTGTGTGTGTGCGTGTGTGTGCGTGGGTGCAGGGGAGAGGAGGACAGTGCCGTCCGCATCTAGAGGGGCCTCACCGCCGCGTCGGCCCAATGCACGACGCCGGCGGGCGAGAAGGCGGCGGCGGCGAGGCTCCAGATGCGGCCGCGCCGCGCGGCATTGGCAAAGGAGGCTCCGAGGTGGCCATCGGCGCCTTTGGGGGGGGAGGCGCGCGCGCGCACTGTGACGAGCGGCGCGTGTGGAGGAGGGGGTGGAGGGAGTGTGTGTGGAGGAGTGTGTAGGGGTGGGTGGGGTGGGGGAGGGCGTGGAGGAGGGGCAGAGGCCCGGGCCGGGTCCCTTGTGAGGACAGGGCGTGCGGTGCGGGTGGGTCTCTGCAGAGAGGCGAAAGAAGGCGGGCCGGAGGCAGGCGGGACGAGGCTAAGGGCTCTTCTGTGAGCGGCTTGCGCTACGCCACGTGTCGTGTGACGTGTCGTGTGGGGCCCGCGGCACTGTCCGTGAGCGGTCCGAATGTCTTGTCTGGGTGTCTTCTCTGCGTATGGCGGTTGCCAGGCAAGATGCGGCGCATCAGGTAGCCGAACAGGCAGCCGTACGAGAGGATCTGGGCGGCGGAGAGGGCCGACGCCCACGGGCGGAGCAGCGCGAGGCTGAGCGGCGCGAGCGGCAGCCACTGCCCCAGCAAACCGACCCACAGCACGCCGGAGTGCACGGCGTGGTGGAAGAGAGGGCCGGCTGACACCTCCGCTGCCGCATCGCGCGCGCCGGCCGCGAGCGAGGCGCCGGCGCCGCCCTGGTGGAAGGCGTCGAGCGCGGCGAGCAGGGCGGTGTCGGCGGGCCGGCTCAGCCGACACGCCGCCCCGATCACGCCCACGCACAGCGCCGGCTGCCAGCGCAAGCGTTTGGCCCGCGGCGGCGGCGGCGGCGCGGCGGCGGCGGCGGCGGCGACGGGCTGCGCCGCCGCACCGTCGGCGGAGGGAGGCCAGTCGCCCGGTTGCTCGGCGGTCGCACCGCTATCCTTTGGCGCCGGCGCCAGTGGAGCCTCCGCTGGCGGCGGCGTCGCGTCGCTGGGCGCAAACGGGTTGGGAGGGATAGGGTAGTTTATGTCCGCACCGCCCCGGATGGCCAGGAGGCGCGCGCTCGCGGTGATGAGCAATATGGCAGACGCCATTCCATAGCGCTAAAAAAGAAAATTCAACCTGAGGTGCGCGCTAGGCTCTCGTCGAGAGAGATCCCCTGTGCCCTGTGCCCAGCCCTCTCCGCGCGGCGATGCGCCCTCCCCCCTCGCTTTTGCAAAATCCTGCAAAGGTGGGGACGTGTCTGTCCTCGACCCAGCCCTAGCTTGTGATGTCCGTTGTATTTATTTATTTATTAGGCTCTCGTCACAGCGCTCAGCGGCCGTCGCGTTGCTCACGTCAACGCGGCGTCTCCAAGAGTTCAAGACAACGTTCTCAACGGACGCGGCCGCCTTCGCGGGTTGCGAACTTCGGGAAAAGCCATCCTGTCTGACGCCGCTACGCGTGAGGTGTGTCCGCGTTCTTTATCTATTTATTTTAGCTGTACACACTGCGTCACTACACCGGGCTCGTCCGGTCCGTCCGTAGCCGCCGCACTCCCGCGCCCCCGGCAAAGGGATCCGGCCCTGGGGAGGAGGCATGCTCCCTGGCGGAGGAGGACTCTCCCCCGTCGACGCCCGTGCGCACGCCGACGAGCTCCTCGCCGTCGCTCTGCGAGGGCGACAACACAACACTCTCTCTCGAGGGCGGCCGCAGGAGGTGCGGCGGGAAGAGCGCCGTCGCCCTGACCGCGGCGGCGAGGCAGCACAGCATGACCGCACTCGCGGCCAAGTTGAGCGCGCCCGGGAAGACGGCGCCCTCCTGCGAGCGCGCGAGGATCCACGGGAAGACGGCGCTCCTGTTCACACACTTGCGGCCGTGAAGATCCGCCGCTCACCGTGGCGCGCCGCGCCTCCAGGAAGGAGAAGGAGAGGCGCTCCCAAAGACGCGCGCAAGCACAGCGCACGTAGAGAACATGGCGTTGACGCTCCCGAACCTACGTCGTGGTTCGCAAAAGGGGGCTGAGTCGCGCCGAGCCAGCCGAGAGCGGCGCGCTCGGCGCCCCCCTCGCCGGCCGACAGGCTGCGTGCGCATCACGATGCCGCGCAGCACCGGCGCCGCGAAGGAGGCGAGGCCGCTCAGCGGCAGCAGCAGGAACCACGCCGTCCCGCTCGACACAAAGGCGAGGAGCGCGAAGTGGAGCGCGTTCGCGGCCAGAGCGGTGCCGACGACCGCTCGCTCGTACGTCTCGCCGACCCACCGCTGCAGCGCGGCGCTCGTCGGCCGCAGCAGCAGCCCCTGCGTCACTCCCACCACGACGCCGATGGCGGAGAGGAAGATGCCTGCGTGCTGAATCCGCCAACCTCAGGGCGGGAAGACGGTGTCGTTGCAGCGTATTCAGAGAGCACCGCGTGAATACGAGGGGTACGAATACAGCGGATACAGCGGAATCGGCGGAATGCAGTTGAACATGTACATGTGTCGTGTCCTCTCGAGCGCTGGTCGGGACACAAGAATAGGATTCCATGGTCTTCCCCTTCTAGAGGATGACGCCTACTCTGGCGGCGGACCAGAGGAAGCGCCACTGCAGGTAGAGGATCCACGAGAGGTAGACGGCAGTCGACACCTTGCAGCCGAGGTGCGGCCGAGGTGCAGCCGAGGTGCAGCCGAGGTGCAGCCGAGGTGCAGCCGAGGTGCGGCCGAGGTGCAGCCGAGGTGCGGCCGAGGTGCAGCCGAGGTGCGGCCGAGGTGCAGCCGAGGTGCAGCCGAGGTGCAGCCGAGGTGCGGCCGAGGTGCGGCCGAGGTGCGGCCGAGGTGCGGCCGAGGTGCAGCCGAGGTCGAGGTGCAACGAAGGTGCGGCCGAGGTGCGGCCAAAGCCGAAGGCTGGCCGAGGTGCGGCAGAAGTGTTCGGCAGCCTCGTGGAGCAGAAAAGCGAAGAGGTACTCGCGGAGCAGCGGGTTGGCCCAGACCTGTCATTGTCATCATTCTTCGTGATCATCGTTCGTCATCACAGTCTTCTTGTTAGTACCCCCGCAGGGGCGGGCTGGCTCAGACCTGGTGTGGGCGTGGGTCCGTGTCTTCTCGCTGCGATTCCCTCGGAGGGTCGGGAGGTGACTCAGCGGCGGCTTTGGTTCGGTCTGCGCGCCCTGTACGTTGTGCGAGACGGTGTGCGCCAGTCCCGCGCGGCCCCGCGCCTGTGTGTGTGTGGTGTCGAACGAGCGCTCCGTGTGTTCAAGAGTGCTGCAGACCTGCTGCAACTGGTAGACGGGAGAGAAGTAGAGGAGAAACTGCGCCGTCAGCGACGTGGGCAGGCGCGAGCGTCGCGCGGCGAGGAGGGTCTCCGTCCTACACATCCACGAGGCTCCGAGCAGGTTCCGAGAAGAGCCTCTGTGAGGCTCGTGGCGGAGGTTTAGCGGCTGTCTCCTCGTGCCCGCGTAGAGCAGGAGCGCGAGGAGGGTGCAGCAGGCGGAGAGGAGGAGGACGGCGACCTCGCCCGACCGGGCGAGGAGGAGGGCGGCGGTGAGCGGGCCCAGCGTGAACGCGCAGCCAAACACGAGTCCCACCCTCCCGAAGAGGACCGGCAGCGCCGCGCCGTCCGCCACGTCTGTCAGGGAGGCAAACAGCAGCACGAGCACGCCGTCGCTCATGCCGCCGAGCACGCGCGAGGCGACGAGGCAGGCGTGGTACGTCTCGGGCGCGGCGCCCGTTCGTGAGGGCGGCGTGATGAGCAGCAGCTGCAGCAGGGCGAGCACGAGACACCAGAGCGTCACCGGCTTGCGGCCGACATAGTCGCTGACCCTGCCGAGCACTGGCAGCGTAAAGAGGTCGAGGACGGCCTTAATCTGCTGCAGCAAGCCGTACAGCGCGGTGGTCTCCGCGCCACGCTCGGGCACTCCAGCGGGCAGAGCGAACTTCAGGAGCGACGGAAAGATGGGAAACAGGAGCGAGACCGAGAAGAGGTAGAGCGCGGCGGGCGCGAGGAGGAGGGGAAGTGCAGGCTTGGCGTGGCTCGGATCGTCTTTCGCGTCCATGCTTGCCATTTTCGTGTCGCCTGCGGCTGGGACGCCAGCCGAGACGGGTGCGGCGGCGGCGCCCGCGGCGGCGGCGCCCGGGACGGCAGCCGGCGAAGGCGGGGCCGGTTTTTTTTTTCGCTTCGGCCTGAATTGGTTGGAGGTGGGGCACGGAGCCTGGCGATTGGCGCCCGCAATAGGTAGGTAGGTAGGGCGTTTTGGTGCGAGTCATGGGGGGAGAGCCACTCAGCAAGTGGTGTGCGAGCGTGTAGCCTTTAGGCTTGAGCGTGCAGTCGGCCTTACGTGAAAACCCAAGGTAGCCGGGACGCCAGCACACACGGCGGCGCACGATACTTTCTTCGGCGCTTCACCCTTGGGCTTCTTGCCGTCGTCCCTGGGCAGAGGCCCACCGCCCCACCCCGCACACAGCGGGTCCCCAAGGGTGAACTTGTGCGATTTCGGGCCCGGGGTTGTGCGATGCGCGGGCCTTCTAGGCCCGCGGGTAGTCTCCCCCCATCCCCAGGGCCTCCAGGGCTCGCACCTTAACCTCTCACAGACCAACGGTAGGTAGGTAGGTAGACGGTCTCTCTTTCGCTACGCGTGTTCTCAACGACGTTGAACAGTGTTTGACCACGGCGCTGTTCACAGCGCGCGCGGACGGCGGTTCTGCGACTCCCGCTCCGCAGGACTTTTGTAAAGCATACTTGTGGCAAGTTACAGACGCTAGTATCGACCTCAGAGACCCAAACACGAATTAATAATTAAGGCTCAAAGTATGGTCAAACAACTGTCAAACAAACAGGTCAAACAACGAAAAGAGACTAGTGCGACCGCTAGACGGCGGTCTCCGCCGGCCCCAAGGCTGCCCAGCCCCAGTACCACACCGGCCACGTACACCGTGGCGCTGGAGTCGGTCAGTGAGGCACTAGACGGGCTACGGAACCATGCGCGCGCCGGCCGGACAGGCTGCGCGCAGGGGCCGCGCCGCCTCGATTTCGCACCTCCGCTCCGCGGCCGGCTGAGGGGCTAGCTCGCCCGGCGACAAGCCCAGCCATCGCCCAGCGCCCCGTATCGACGGGGGGCACGCAAAAAAACCGCACCTACGACTAGGGTGAGCACGTGAGGGCGTCGGTGTGGGCCGCGGGCGGGCTGCCAGGAGGGCGCGGGTGGGAGCATGGGAGATGCACCACCGCTCGACGAAGACGCGCCCGACGAAGCCCTGCTAGCGGAGGATGGTCGATCCTCACCTACTAGGAAGCGTCGGGCGTGTGCGAAAAAGAGCGCAAATCGGAGCTCAACTCGCGCGCGGCTGGGAAAGGGGTGTGGCACCCCTCCGAAGGCGCCTCGCGAGGAGCTGCTGCTGCCTCCAAACGCGCTCGGGCAACACGTCGGCGCGCCTGCGGGGTGGGTTGAGGTGAAACTATGCTTGCTGGCACGCGCATCCCGCACCACCCCCACGTCCGCGCGCACCATGCCGCCATCCCACGTCACAGCCAAGCGCCATCGCCGTCGGACGCGGCGACGCCGAGCGGTGGCCTCGCAGACGACGAGCGCGATGAGGCCGCCGCGCCGCCGGGGTGGCCGGCGCGTGCCAGCCGCTGGCCTGTCCAGCGTGGCGGGACCGGCTCGCCCATCCTGGCCGGCGCGCTTGCCGACGCGAGAAGATCGCGCGAGAGGGCAAAATGTGGCAAAAATGGCCCTGTTTGCCAACCCTTCGCGGGACAGATGATGACGACACGCACGAGCGACACACAGACACAAAACAAGCTCACAAGACACACAGCCAGCGTGGCTGCCACACACCAATGCATAGCGCCATCCGACGTATTTTCTTCTACCCTTATAACTCTCTCGTGTCGGCGCCGTAGAATGTAGCAGCCGAAATCCGCCCGCCACGATCGATCAGTCCACAATCGTCGGCCCGCAGCGACCCGCAGCGATGGATGCCGCCGCCCCCCTGGCCCCTGCGGCTGACGCGCCGATGCACGACCGGCCTCCGTCGGATGGCTCTCCGGCCTCTCCGGCCGCTGACGCGGCCGCCCATGCTGCTGCCGATCCGGTCCCTCTCACGCTCAGCGATATCCGCACAAGCTACGACAACTTTGAGGTCGCCGGCTTTGGCCAGGTGCAGCCACCACCTGCTTGCCTCCATGTTCACGCTTCGCGCCCCTTCCCCCCTCTGACGCCGCCGTATGACCGTAGGTGAGGGGCACGACTACCCGCCTGGAAGGCGCTCTCATCAGCAAGTCACCCAGGCACCAACTCCTGGGTGTTTACGCTTGACTACGAAACCATGCAGTGGATGCAGCTCGATCAAAACGGCGACGCCAACAGCTGGTCCCTGGGCGAGTTCCTCGCCCAGGATGAGGTGCGAGTCATGATGCTCGACCCAGCGTGCACCAAGTCGCTCACATTCCGTGAGTTCGTCAACGGGCGACTGCGATCTCGAACTCCGACAACTGGACCGGTGCACCAGCCGCGGAGGACGATGGCTCCCTCGACGACATCCCTTCATCGACGGACGCCTTCACCGCCGCCGGCCCTGGGCCATCCATCGCGGCCTCCGACTGGCTGCCGCAGCTCACACCCTAATCTATCTGCCTTAGGCACGGAGCCAACGGAGCCATCGCGCATGCCCGCATCGCGTGCGGCTCCGAGGTCTCCCGCCGAGACCGGCTCGGCGCGGCGCGTGGCCGCACGCCGCCGTTGAAAAGGCGAGATAGGACCGAGGGGAGAGCGCCGGCCACATCGAGCGAGCGCTGACGTGTAAGGTGTCTGTGCTGCTCCGGTGTGTGTGGGATTCTGCCTCCCCCCCATCTGTGCGGCGAGTTGTTTGCGGCGCGATGCCCGATCGTGCGCGATAGCCTCCCATTGTGCGTGGTGTGTCGGTGTGTCGGGGTCGTCCGGAGCGTGTGGCGGCGCCGTTGCATGCAGCGACTGCTCCACGTGCTTTGACTGACGTGACTGACTGATGAGACATGAGTGCTGATGGATGATCTCCGACAACCCAAAACCAAAATGCAAATGCGGAGTGGCCCACTTTGGCGTGCAGATCCTGCGTCTCTCACTGCCCGAAGAACAGAGACGGGTACCGCCGAGAGTCCCACAGAAGTCTCATAACAAGGCTGTGAACTTCGGCGCCGGGCAGCCTCCCGCTCGTCCAATGCCTTCCATGCCTCCTCTCCTGCTCTGCCTCACCTTCGCAGCCCTCCCGGAGCTCGCCGCCGCCGCCGACGAGCCCGTGCGAGACAGCCGCTCGCCGCCCCAGATTCTCCTGTCTCCAGCACAGTGCCAGGCCTGGGGCACAGTGGCCAACGCGTCGGGTGGGCTCGGCGCCGTATGCGCTGCGTGCTCGCGCCCGGGCGAGGGCGGCGATGCGCCGCCATCGGCCGCACCGCCGCCGGTCCAAGCCTCTGACTGCGCCCTCCGTGGCCTGAGCGTCTCCGGCACCGATCTCCAGCCGCCCTTTGACGCGGCAAAGCGCCGGTATGCGGCGACGGTGCACACCTCGCAGCCGATGCTGCTGGCGGAGAGCGGCGCGGATTGCCGGCTGCAGGTCACCTGCTGGGACCGGCTCGCTCCCGAGGCGCCTCCGATCCCGCCCGCGCTCGACACCGGCGTCCCGCGCTTTGCGCTCCCTCTGCCGGGCGAGACTGCGAGTAGCGCCTGCGAGGTGGCCCTGCTGCGCGGCGACGCCGCGGCCGCGGTGTATACCGTCCTGCTGGGGAGGGAGCCCGGCGTGCCGCTCCTCGACGACCCGGTCGCGGACGAGGAGGGGGCGGCGGCAGCATCCTCAGGTGAGGAGACTGTCTCGCTGCCAGCTTCGCACATCCGGGGGGGTGGTGGTGGGTGGCCCGGGGTGGGGGGTGGGTGGGGGGGGGGGGGGGGGCTAGCACCACGGCCAGTGAGCCGCAAACCTCCTCCTCGCTCTCCCCGACCCGCGCCGCGCCACCGGCCTCGATGCGAGTCCACCACCGCGCCTCGCAGGCGGCGGCGGCGTGATGCTCCTCGTGCTGCTTTGCTCGGTGGGAGGCTGCTGCTGGGCGGCGCAACGGTTCGGCGTCAAGGAACGCGGCGCCGGCCTCCTCGCCAGCATAGAGGGAGGCTCCAGCTATGAGGCGGCTGGCTCCGGCGCGCTCGGCTTCTAGTTTGTTTGTCCCTCGCGCCCCGCACTCGGGCCAGGAGTGGCTGTTCCCGGGCATTCACACTATGTTCCTGAGATAATTTGGCGATTATATCCATAATCTTCCATAAGGGATTTCATCCCTTTTTGGTTTTTGGAGACTCGTGTTTCGGATGTTTTTACGGTTGTTTTTGGGTAAAACGTATACAGCGAACGCGATGCGGCCTCTGCCTAGCTTCCTGCTTCTATATGCGCGAGCTACGGCGTGACCGCTATCGCTAACTTACTTAAAGTACCTTTGCGCAACTGCGGCGCGGCGCACGGTGCCTCCGGGGGCCCCCGCCTCCCCCCAGCTGTGTCCCTAGAGGTGTCTTTGACATTTGACTTCGATGTCTGGTGGGGGACGATTTATGTCTGGTGGGGGACGCAGGTGCTCAAAGGTTGCGGGCGTGTCACCACTCGCGCCTTGGCTCTCGACACTGGGTTCTGGACATGCAACGACATGCCGAAAAGGGAGCGATCCGCGGCGCAGGCACGCGCTGAGGCCGTGTATAGACGCGCCAATCCGGATGATAGGGGCGATCGGGGCCGTGACCGCAGGGCCGAGAAGGTCGAGTACAGACGCAGACTCAAGAACGCGAGAGCGGAGGCTTCTAGCGCGGCCGCCGTCGAAGAGTCGTTACGCTCTCCCCGATCCGTCAACCGTGATTTCTTGTGTGTGTGTGTGTGTGTGTGTGTGTGTGTGTGTGTGTGTGTGTGTGTGTGTGTGCGTGTGTTGACCCGGGACCCGCGGGCGGGCTTACGTCACCCTTACAGAGCTAGACCTAGAGCTACGATGATCGATGTGTACGGCTTTACGAACAGAGACACGAATATCACGATCGTCCAGCATCTTGGTGGGACACGTCATGCGAGAGACACACGTTTTGCGTTCAGTGAGTAGAGAAGTGTCCATGGGACACCATGATCCACCATCGGATCGCACAACAATCAACATGCACATGGACATGGACATGCACCCATGTGCATGCACATGCACACGCACATAAATCATAATATGCCCCGTAACAAATGCACATGCACATGCACATGTGCGTGTGCATGTGCATGTGTATGTTGTGCATGTGTATGTTGTGCATGTCGCATGTGCATGTCGCATGTGAGATGTGTGTATGAGAGCACGCTGACTAGGTCCAGCCCTGGGAGTTGGGTGGCACGGGTTGTGACATTTGGCGATGATAGTAAACGGGTCAGAACCGGCCAAACACAGGCTACAGCCCATAGCTCCTGGAGAGCATGCGCGAGTGACGCGCTACAAGAGGCGAGAGTGGCACCCCTGGGGTCAGTGAGAATGTCGTGCTGCACCTCGCAGCTGCACCGCGTGTGCTCGCAGTGTATGCCACGGCCGCCGCCTGCGGCATTGCTCTCGTGCAGCTAGGCGACGCAGGTCCATCAGCAGGGCTCATCCAATGCGAGCGCACATTGTGCGTAGCCGCGGGCAGGTGGCAGTGCACAGTCGTACACCGGCTGTGGCGGCTCGAATGCCCCCGGCAGCAATGCTGGTCATTAACTTGCGTATTGGGGCCGCAGCAGACTGCTGCTGTTTCAGCAGCAGCAGCCTGCTGCTGCCTGATTCAGTCAAGCCACAGCGGTGCAGCGAGGCGTGCAGAATTCGCGCGGTTTGGTACCTCCTGAGGCTGAGCGCGTTCAGACCCGGTGACCGGAGTTGGATGGTCCGATGGAGCTCGCCGAGCTCCATCGAACCATCCATGGCCGGACGGCGGAGCGTGAGGTAACTACCGGAGAGATGTACCGCAAGACAAGAAAAACACGGCTCTGACGGATGTCAAACGTCAGATCTGTGCCACCCTGGGCTGGACCTAGTCCGCTGCTGTGTGTATCACTCTTCATTATTTTAGCGTGTCTCACACACAGCGTGTCTCTCACCATATGTGTCTCACACACTCACAGTCGGTACTCACAGTACACAGACGAAGAGCCGGTGCAGGCGGCGGTCCAGGTGGGAGCAGCACGCACGTATGGTAGCCATCGTACAAAAAGCTGGTGTCGGGCACCCACGAGCATTCGGGAGGATCGTCGGCCGCCCCTTTTTGGCAGCATGCCCCCGGTGTGCCCAGCGTGCCGTCGCATTTGGAGCAGAGCCCGGCTGCGTCGCCGCAGGTGTTCCAGCACTCGCCTGGCCCATTAATGTTGTTGCAGCCCTCGCACTTGGTCACCTCGGGCGGCGGGGGCGACGGCGGCGGCGGCGACGGCGGCGGCGGCGACGGCGGGGATGGCGGCGGCGGCGCTGATGGAGGTGGCGGCGAGGGCGGTGGCGGCGAGGGCGGCGGCGGTGACGGAGGCGGCGGCAGCGGCGGCGAGGGCGGCGGGGCGGACGGCGGCGGCAGCGAGGGCGGTCCAGGTGGGAGCAGCACGCACGTATGGTAGCCATCGTACAAAAAGCTGGTGTCGGGCACCCACGAGCATTCGGGAGGATCGTCGGCCTCCCCTTTTTGGCAGCATGCCCCCGGTGTGCCCAGCGTGCCGTCGCATTTGGAGCAGAGCCCGGCTGCGTCGCCGCAGGTGTTCCAGCACTCGCCTGGCCCATTGATGTTGTTGCAGCCCTCGCACTTGGTCACCTCGGGCGGCGGGGGCGACGGCGGCGGCGGCGACGGCGGCGGCGGCGACGGCGGGGCGGGCGGCGGCGGCGCTGATGGGCCCTCCTCGGCATCGGGGATGCTGTCGCCGTCCGAGTCGGGGTCGAGGTGGTCCGGGATGCTGTCGCTGTCGCTGTCGCCTGTGCCCTCCTCGGCATCGGGGATGCTGTCGCCGTCCGAGTCGGGGTCGAGGTGGTCCGGGATGCCGTCGCTGTCGCTGTCGAGTGCGAGGCCTGTCTCGGTTGGGACGGCCGCCTCGGAGAGCCTGCGCCCCCCGCCTGTCATTTGGCACGCCGTGCCGATGAAGATTCGGCAGGTGGACCCGAGCACCTGACACATCGGATGCACAAACCTGGTTTAGTGGCGGGCTGCGCACGCGGGGTCTTCTTTTGCACGCACCTCATAGCCGCATGACCCTGACTTCGCCTTCGCTTGGGCGCAGCACCCTTCGGCGCCAAGAGCTACGTCGTCGTGACTATCTTCTCCGGTGATTCTGCTTCCGTCGCAACCCACGGTCATAGACTCGCACCCTGGGCATGGTGTTGCCGGCGATGGCGGAGAGGGCGGCGGGGCGGACGGCGGCGGCAGCGAGGGCGGTCCAGGTGGGAGCAGCACGCACGTATGGTAGCCATCGACAAAAAGCTGGTGTCGGGCACCCACGAGCATTCGGGAGGATCGTCGGCCTCCCCTTTTTGGCAGCATGCCCCCGCTGTGCCCAGCGTGCCGTCTCTTTGGGAGCAGAGCCCGGCTGCTTCCCCCTAGGTGTTTCTCGCACTCTCTGGCCCATTGATGTTGTTCCTGCTCTCCGACTTGGTCCCCCTCCGGTCGTTCTTCTAGTGCTGCAATGATTGTTGTGTGGTCTTAGGTTCGCTGTCAGAAT